GCAAATAAGGGAGGAGAGGTTGAGACTTTATTTATAATAAAGAAAAATATTTAAGCTGAACCAATCAACAAATTGATCACATCTGACAGCATATGAAACATTTTTTTACCTTTATAAAATTTTCCATTTCCATACTGAGAGGAAAGAAATACATTTCATTATTGCTTTTCAAGACTGGTCGTGACATTATAAGCTCATTTATTTTTTAATTGTGATGATTTACATTATCGAAGTCATTGTAAATATTGGTCTCCTTTCTTTTTTGCATCGATTCATATGCCTTTCTATGTTTTGCTAATAATTCATATTCAGTGCTTCTTACTGTGCATCCCATGTGCTTGCGTAGGGGCCTATTGTTGGTCAATCCATGAGAACTAGAGTGAATTTGGTTTAAGGCACAGTCTTTAAGAAAGAAATCTAGCTAGTAAACCCCAAGACATGTAGGTAGGTTTCAGCCTTCAAAATTTACCTTCATTTGGGCAGATCACCCTCAGGTGAGGTCATGATACCCCATGTGGAAAGAGGAGAGAGGAGAGGAACTGAGTTGCCCAAATGAAACTGGCCAGTTGGGTCCCCACTGGCCAGCTCAGATTACTCACAGGTTGTGGTTTGTCCTTTCTTGAAGAGAACCATGACATCAGGAAGATGATGCCATGACTTGCAAATGAATTGGATTTAAGTGAAGGAGGGCTGTGCAAAGTCACCAGTCTTACTTTCTCCTCCACAGCCATCTAGGTCCAGTGCCAGATATAGGTCAGGAGAACTGGAGATGGCCCACAATGCAGTGGGAGACCTCTGCCTTTATAACCTAAGGTCTTTTAAGCTAAATTCTCACTTTGACTGAGGCAATGCCCATTGGCCCCTGACGGCTCAGAGTGAATGTAAATAGTAATTGTTTCTCTTTTGGCCAGAAATCCTGAAGGTCTTCCTCTCCCAGGGTTTTTTTTTTTGGGGGGGGGGAATTAAAAGGGACATCCCTTGGTTCACTTCTTAAACAGCCCTAATCACCGAATGGGCATTGCCTCTGTCAAAGTGAGAATGTAGCTTAAAAGACCTTAGCTTAAAAAGTCTGAGGTCTCCCACTGCATTGTGGGCCATCTCCAGCTGTCCTGACCTATATGTGGTTATTAGACCCAGATGGCTCTGGAGGAGAAAGTAAGGCTGGTGACTTTGCACAGCCCTCCCTCACATAAATCCAATTCATTTGCAAGTCATGGCATCATCTTCCTGATGTCATGGTTCTCTTTGAAAACGAAGGACAAATCACATGCAATCCCATTACATTCAAACTCAGAAATTCCTCCTAATTCTAACATAATAGATAATAGAAAAAGACCATGTACAACAAATCTACTTAAAATAGAGCCTCATATTTTATTTTTAACAGTGAAAAAAGTCTGATTGGGACTCTAACTTGAAAGTTAAAATGAAAACTTATGAAAATGAGTTTAATTTTTATCTATAACAAAACTGAAATTTTAGCTGCAAAGACACACAAATTCTTAGATTAAAGGGGAAAAAAATCAAATGCTGATTTTTTTAAGTATAGTTTTTCCAACAAAATTATAGGATAACATAATAAAATGTACTTCCATTACAGTGAGTTCCTTAGGACAAAGGCTACTTTTTTTTCTTGTATGCTTAGCACAGTCCCTGGGACATCATATAAACACTTAATAAGTGATTGTTGACTAACTGATATGCCTCTCTTCATATTTGAGTCTTTGTAGCATGATCATAAAGATGGTCATTGATACCAAAATGTTAGAGGTCTTCATTAGTTTTCCTAATCCTTGAATTTTCAAATAATTTTCCTTTGAAGTTCTTACCAACAGTTATAGGCTGACACTGAGAGGATGAGAGGTGACTAGTGGCATAGACAATAGTTAGTCAGAGATGCATATTTGAGTGGCGACTAAGTTTATCAGTAATTAGTTTATTCACTTAATATTGCTGTTATGGCAACTTTTACTTCCCTTTGCAACTTAATAGGGAGATAGTGTGTGAATAAAGAGCCAATCTCACAGTCAGGAAGACTTGGGTTAAACATCTGTCTTAAACACATACTGGTTGTGTGTCTCTGGCCAAGTCACTCAATCTCCCAGTAATTCAGGAATCTCTCTAATATTACAAGTTGCAGAACAATTGCTGATATGCATTGGTAGAAGGTTTTAAGGGAAGGGAAGGGAAGGATTTTAACACCCAGAGATGAGGAAGGCATGCATTCCAGGCCTTGGGGATAGCTAGATTAAATCACAGAGAGACAGAGAGAGAGAGACAGAGAGAGAGAGAGAGAGACAGACAGACAGACAGACAGACAGACAGACAGGCAGGCAGGCAGACAGGCAGACAGACAAAGCAACAGAGCAATGTAAAAAAATACTGGAAGGTTAAGGTTACAGCCAAATGATGGAGGCCTTTGTATACAAGGGTAAGGAAATTCTCTTTGGTCCTATAGGTAGTAGGGAGTCGATGAAAGTTTTTGAGCAACAGAGTGAAATGGGAGAAAGGAGGACAGACCTGAACTGAGAGAGAATATAAATAAAACATTAAGCAAGAAAGATGAGCTTGGTCTGACAGAGAAGTCATATTGAGACCATTGTTTTGTGGATTTAGATTTATTTTACAGCAATGAATCCTAGTCCTAGCTTTTTCATGAAAAGGACTCAAAGGTTATGACGGTAGAGCACAAGCTTTGGAAGTCTCACCAAGTATACAAGACTGCAAGTATGTACCTCCTAACTGAGGTGGTGAGGTTGTATAGATAAATGGATAGAGCATGGCACCTAAAGTCAGGAAGACCTGAGTTTGCAGCCAGCCTCAGATACTTCTTAGTTGTGTGACCCCTGGGCAAGTCACTTTTAACCTTTTAGCTTCTATCTGTTTCCGTTTCCTCAACCATAAAGTAGTGATAATAATAGTAAACACTTCTTACGGTCCTTGTGTGCAGGGTTGTTGGGAGGAGGAAATGCTATAATATTTGTAAAATGCTTAGCACAGTTCCTGGCACATAATAGGTGCTTAATAGATTCTTTCTGTCTTCCTTCCTCCCTTCCTCCCATCTGGATTATGGACCATATGTCTTATACCCAAGGGTCATCCGAACTAGTCTTAGAGAAGCTGATCACTGTAGGATGTCCGTTGTTACGCATTTTATCAACAACTCACGAAGATGGTTGACCAGGGCACATAGAGTACTGGGATCTGTAGTTGAAGTGGTACCCACACCAATGAAACCTCATAATCTTTGAGTATCACAGAAAGAGGCAGAGGTAACAGTCATAGCCCAAGATTTTAGAACAGTGTGCCTAGGTCAGCCTGTGATGGTAAAATTAAAAGGAGTCTCTCTTCCTCACTGAAAGAGACTGAATGATGAATGCTCAAAGTTGACAGGAAAAAAAGGTAGGCTAGGTAACTGTGGGTGATACAAAGTAAATGCCAATAAGCAGCTAGATAATTATTGGGTATATTGAAAAGGATATTTAATTGGTGGTATCTAGGTATTTACTAGAAGCAGCTAGATGGCTCAGTGGATAGAGCACTGTGCCTGGAGTCAAGAAGACCTGAATTCAAATCTGACCTCATACACTTACAAGCTGTGTGACCCTGGGCAAGTCACTCAACACTGTTTGCCTTAATTCACTGGAGAAGGAAATGAGAAGCCGCTTGAGTATCTTTGCTGACAAAACCCCATGGATTGAATTGGTGTGCAATGGTCCCTGGGGTCATAAAGAGTTGGACACAACTGAATGGACAAGTGTTTACTATTTTTAGTCTTGCTATAAGTAAAAAGTATAGAGTAGATAAAACTGTGTTGTCATGTTATATGCAGGTAGTCTTTGTAGAGGATGTGCTTGTAAGTAGATCACAAGTTATACTTTTGCTTCTCTGAGAAATCTACACCTAAATAATGTGAATTTGGTCGTGTTGAGACATTTTTCAGCTGTGTCTCACTCTTCATAAACTCTTTTGGAGTTTTCTTGGCAAAGATGCTGGAATGGTTTGCCATTTCCTTCTCCAGATCATTTTACCGATGGGAAACTGAGGCAAACAGTGTTAAGTGACTTGCCCAGGGTCACACAATTAGTAAGTGTTTGAAGCTGGATTTGAATTCAGGAAGATGAGTTTTCCTGACTCCAGGACTGTCATGCTATCCACTGTGCCATCCAGCTTCCCTATCACTAATGTGAATTAGTGGCTCACTAATCACTGGGCCTATGCACCATTAGCTTGGTGGCAGCTACTTAAACTTATCTGTTCCGGTAAATGTTTAACAACTGACTGAAAAAAAATGTTCTTATGACATACTTTTAAGTTGAAACTGCATCATTAACATCTTTCTCCATAACTTTTTAAAGTCTAGAAAGCAACAACACAATAAATCAAGCTTCAATTTCAAGCATTTATGTATTTCCAAGGTATAAATGCTTACACTAAAAATTTAACAATTGGCTCCCATAAACCAGTGAAAGCTGGATCCAGCCTTCCCTCTGATAGAAGAACCTTTCAAGTGACCAGGATATCACATTATATCCATGGTAAAGGTCATGATGTCTTCCCTTTTCCTCTTTCCTTGCAATTCATAAGGGATGAATCCAGGCTAGGGTTCAGGAAAGTTTATCAGATCAGCTCTATGACAGTGACCATCTGTTTTCAAAAGTATTTTAGATCTGTGATGGTAGTAGGTTTCTGCCAAATGGTTAAAAGGCATTTTGGATTATTTCAAATTTACATGAAATATCATAGCTGGTTTTTAAGGAGTATTATATTGTCTGAGGAGGGTAAAGTCTTATCATGTATAGGTATCATTAATATAGTTGTGATTCTAGATATACGCAGTCTAAAAGACATAGTATAAAAGGGTTTTGGACAAAAGTATCTTATTTGTCCACCTTCTGCCACCCCAACTTCTCTCTATCTCTCTTGCTTATGCCTGGCTCAGAACCTGATGTTGATTTCTCTTATTTGATTTCTGTCTTTCTTTTTTTTGCCCCATTTAGGATGATTCCTCCATGTTCTTCCAATTTGGCCCATCAATTGAACAGCAAGCTTCTGTAATGCTCAACATCATGGAGGAGTATGACTGGTACATCTTTTCTATTGTCACCACCTACTTCCCTGGATACCAAGACTTTGTCAACAAAGTCCGCAGCACCATTGAAAACAGCTTCGTGGGTTGGGAGCTAGAGGAGGTCCTCCTGCTTGACATGTCCTTAGATGATGGGGATTCCAAGATACAGAACCAGCTGAAGAAGCTTCAAAGCCCTATCATTCTTCTTTACTGCACTAAGGAAGAAGCTACCTATATCTTTGAAGTGGCTAACTCTGTAGGGCTAACTGGATATGGCTATACGTGGATTGTGCCTAGCCTGGTGGCAGGGGATACAGATACCGTGCCCTCAGAGTTCCCCACTGGGCTCATCTCTGTGTCATATGATGAGTGGGATTATGGCCTTCCTGCCAGGGTGAGGGATGGGATCGCCATAATCACCACAGCCGCTTCTGACATGCTATCTGAACATAGCTTCATCCCTGAGCCTAAGAGCAGCTGTTACAACACCCATGAGAAAAGGATCTACCAATCCAATATGCTAAATAGGTAAGAGTGTGAAGCAAGATGAAATCAGAGGGTGGAGGAAGGGCTGGGTTTCAAATATGTGAATTGAATGGTGTAGAATTTCAGCAACAGTGTGAAATGCAGGACAAGGTAGCAGTGGGTTGGAGGCTGGTGACTGGGCTGAGGGCCTAGAACAATGAATGGTGGGGGTGATTCTGATCCAAATTGTGCTTCTTTGTGTTTCTGTTCCAAGTGTCCTTGGTTGTTGGTGTAGCAGTATACCCCAAGTAGGAGGAGACGAGAGAAGGCCAATCCACTGTTTCCTCTGGAATGCCACCTATGATGGGTGAATGGTGAGCAGGTGATACCTAGGTCTGTGGGCATGCCAACAGTATTCTCCCCTCACAAACTGGGCTGGATTATATTGGGATTCCAGTATTTCCCCAACTGAAGCAGGCCACAGTCGGAGCAGCCTGTTTGGTTGCTTCTGGCAGCTGGGTCCCCTGCTTTCATTATAGCAAGGCAAGTCCTGAATATGGTCACTTTCACCTGGTATCAGCTCCTACAATGGAGAAAACAAACAAACTGCAGTGACCCTGTATTGGGAGTACTGTGTGGTATGATAGAGGGTATACTCTTCAAAGGTAAGACATCATGCAGGTTGTGTTGTTTTGGGTCCTTGCTGTCCTGCTGGGCTCCATCATTTCTGCTCATTCACCCCATGCAAATGGGCTATAATTTTGGCCCACAATTCAGTGCTTATCCTAGAATATTGGCATAGTCAGTGATAAGTTTCCATAACACATGCTATCTGTACCTCATGTCAGACTCTTCCCCCATCATTGGATGTCTAGGTTGGGATAATTCATCGTGGTACCCTTTGTGACTGTGAGCTATCCTATCTGATACCTCCTTGCAATCTAGAGCTATCATATTTAGCTATGATTTCCATTATGACATAATTCTGTTTCTTAAAAATTCCTATAAATTTTGTTCTGGGTTCCCTTTTCTTCTCTCAATCTGGGTTCAGGATATTTCACACACACACATATGAAAAAATGGTTTCTTATTAAATATAAGTGAATAATCCTGTAGGAAACTGCGAAGTAGAAGTTACCAAATAACATAAAGCAATCATATGAATATTATCTTAAAGCCTACAGATATGGTGAGACTGTTTCTATCCTAAAACTTCTGAGTATAGAAATCAAAGTCTTCAGACACCTTGCTTTTCTCTTATGTTTCACAAGCCCCCTATTATGGGCTTGTTCTCCCCAACTCTCACTTCCATTGGTGGGACAGCTCCACAGAGGGCTCTCCTCTCAAGGTATGAAGGGTAACCTTTGAGAGGGTGGTGTTTCTAATACTATCTAATAGTATTTCTAATACTATCTAATATTATTCTAATACTATCTAATACTATCATTCACAAGTACCCAATCCCAAGTAGGTGCTCCTAATTATTAATCAACCAGCTGGCATCAGTTGGCTTCCACAACGGGATATTTAATCAGAAGGAATATATCAAGGGTAGAAGTACAAAAGTTTCCTCCCATCCCCAACTGGAAGCACACTCTCCCTTGGGAAATTGGGTGGTATAAAAAACATTTTCCCCTGCCTCAACCCTGTGCACACTCTCCATCCTATTTGTACAGGGTGTCCCGTTCTTACTGAAGTTTTAAACTTGAATTTAACTATTAAAATGTGAAGTTTCACTAAGAACTTTGGGACACCCTGTGTATCCAAAAGGATCATGGAGAGAAAAGTCTCAAATTTGAAGCACAGAGGTACCAAGAGATATATGTAGGGAATGTACATATGTGATTAGGGTGACCCTTAACCTCAGAGTTCTTTAGTTATTTTCTCTCTTCTGTAAGAGTCCTCACTAAGTTCACTTCTGGGTGTTCCATAGCTGATGGAAAAGTCATTCCCTTGCTTGCAGGACATGGTGCTTTGACTTCTGGGTTGGTTCCATCCTAGCCTGGGTCAAGCAGTTAGCTCTTCAGGCCTGGCTCCTCAGTGGATTCAGCTACTGTGCCTACTGGCACAGATTCTGCTACTAATTCTGATTGCTGGATCTCTGATGGCTCCTCTGACCTTTCAAAGATCATGAGGTTATAACCTGGTCTCTGGACCATTCATCCAAGATCAAGAAAGAACAAACCCAGGAGACAAAAGAAGCAGAGACATCATGCCTTTGCAGACACCTGGCAGCTGAGCAGGGAGATTAGGCAGCTGTACCTGCTGCCACTCACACTGTCTGCCCCCCTACCAGAGGCCAACAGCCTACCTAGCCACATTGGTACTCTAATCTTTCTGGGGTCAGGGTATTGTGACTAATACTCTTTTAAATGACAGACCAAAAAGCCAAGAAAGATAGCTATAGTGAAAACATGCTGAAGATAAAACTGCTGCAAACAACTGGACTATAAGCATGCCTTTCTTCACTAATGGCCTATAGTAGTAGCAGGGTCAGGAAGGTCCTTCACTCTTCAGACTGTGGTATCTGGGGGCTACTTAGAATGAACCTCTCATGGATCAGGTGACATCAGGGTCAATGTTGGGAAAGAGACCTCTCCTTCATGCTAAAAATATTAGGAGCTTTGTTGGCACATCTTTACAAGCTTTATCTAATGGCACATTGTTACATCTTTATCAGGTCCACTGATAGTTGATCAAACCATGTTTATTTCCTACATTGTTTTTGGGGAAATCTTCATAGCAAGTGGAATTAAATGAAATGTCATTGGTTTTATATCTATTCCAAATCCAAGACAGTGGTGAGTACTCAAAGGGATTGGCTTCTTTTGTTATTCAAGGAAGATTAAAGATTAAAAAATGAGGGATACTTCATAATCTAAGAGTACCTTTAAAGTTGTATTGTTTCCATCTTTTGTGACCAAGGAACAACATGTTATGTCAACCTAGAATCCTTATGAGTTGAATTTGTTCCTTAAGCCTCTACAGCAGTACCAGCTAGACTTAGTGAACATTTTACCAGATGTACTCTGTCTGTACTGGTTATAGAAAAGCCTGAATGCCTCTCTTGGTGTTGGTAAAAGTGGCATATTTGTTCATGTCCTTTTAGTAAATATGGTACAAAAATGCACCATTGCCCCAGTCGTGCTGAGTCTTTGACTCCCCATTGAGAATATAATTTGATTGAACATAAGAAGGGATTTTTTATTCCCTCTATCTCCATGTGAAAGTTTTTATTAGAACCTGAGGGTGGTCTGAAAGAACCTTTAAATCAGATAATATAAAACCGTTTTGGAAATGATTAGGTCAAATGTCCAGAATCATCTTTATCCCCTTAAGCTAGGGGAGAATTATTAGCTGTTAGTAGGTATGTTGTCTATATTTTCACTTTATCACTTTCTCAGGGACCAGTTAATGATTATTTTCTCCTCTAGTGTGTTCTCTAATGCTGTGTATAAGTCTATTTATGTCACTCAGATGATGGAGCATCTTGTAGTTACTTCAGGACTCTATTTTTGGTTCAGGGGTCCAATCTTTCTACTTTTTCTATATCTCACCCTTTGAAATTAGCAGAAAGGGAAGATGCTATTTAAGATATGTGATTCTTTATTTGACATGTTTCATGTGTTTTTGTGTTGATTATTTTCTGACTCCCTAGTATCCTAGATTAATAACAGCATTATACTTGTTAGCTGGGCAGCTAAGTGGCACTTTGAATCAGGAAGTCTTAAGTTTGAATCTTGTCTCAGCCAGGATGGTGTGATACTGGGCAAGTCACTTAACCTTCCTGTGCCTCGATTTTCTCATCTGTAGGATGGAGATAATAATAGCATATGCCTTTTAGGGTTTTTGTGAGAATCAAATGAGATAACGTGTAAAGAACTTTACAAACCTTAAAGCACTATATTGATGCTAGTTATTATTATTATTATTATTATTATTATTATTATTATTATTATTATTATTACTACTACTACTACTGTATTTAAAACTATCTGCCACTCTTATCTTGTGAGGCTTTACTCAGCCCCCCACCCAATTCTTCACTTTTCACTTACTTTTCAAGATCATATTATCTGACTTTGAATCTCATCATTCAACTCAATCTCCTTTGCTGGAGAATTAGCCACTCTGTCCCCTCACCATGGCTATCCCCAGGCTATGTCCTAGCACTAGACCTTCTTTTCCTCTCTTTCTCCATGAAACTCCATTTTTGTTGATGAACCTGTCAGCTCCTAGGATTCAGTTACCTTCACTATGCAGGTGATTAAACAATTGTCTCTTTCCTGAGCTCTAGTCTCACATTACAAGTGGTCTATTGGACATCTCCAGCTAAGTATATTAGAATCATAGCAAATTCATTGTACCCAAAATGTAAATCACTATCCCCTGAAACCTATCCTGCTTTCATACTTCCTTATCTATTTATTTTTGGGTGAGGCAACTGGGGTTAAGTGACTTACCCAGGGTTACACAGCTAAGTGTCTGAGGCTGGATTTGAACTCAGGTACTCCTGACTCCAAGGCTGGTGCTCTATCCACTATACCACCTAGCTTCCCCTTTCCTTATTTATTTTGAGGACATCTCATTATTCTAATCATCCAGGGTTGCAACCCCAAAGTATTCCTATATTCCTCCTTCTCCATCTCTCTCAACAGAAAATTAAAAAAAAAATTTTTTAAGAGCTACAAGAAAAAGCTATATTTGTCCTCAGTTCTAAAAAATATCAGGACCTACACCAAGGAGCAAGAAGTGACTTCATTCTGTATAAAAGATGATACTCAATTTAATCAGTATTAAACAAAAAAGGTTCAAAATGTGTCACTTTCTTGCTAAACAAGACTCACCCTGCAGCTGCTTACAATGATAGCTCAGGTTTCTACCCCGCTTTTGCTCCAATTTGATCCTCACAACAACCATGTGACATAGGTGAATCTAGTGAAGTAACTTGCATAGCATCACTCATCTGCCAAGTGTCAGAGATGACATTAATCATTCAGGGTTTATGCTAGGAGCTGGATTCAAACCCCAGTCTTCCAACTTCCAAGTCCAGTGTTTGATAC